GGAGGCTAGTAGGAGACTAGAAGGAGACTAGAAGGAGGCTAGAAGGAGGCTAGTAGGAGACTAGAAGGAGGCTAGTAGGAGACTAGAAGGAGACTAGAAGGAGGCTAGAAGGAGGCTAGTAGGAGACTAGAAGGAGACTAGAAGAGACTAGAAGGAGACTAGAAGGAGGCTAGAAGGAGGCTAGTAGGAGACTAGAAGGAGGCTAGTAGGAGACTAGAAGGAGACTAGAAGGAGGCTAGAAGGAGGCTAGTAGGAGACTAGAAGGAGGCTAGTAGGAGACTAGAAGGAGGCTAGAAGGAGGCTAGAAGGAGGCTAGAAGGAGACTAGTCGTTCCATTGGACTGAACCATCCGTTCTACTATTGATCAGAACATCATCTAGAACCCCCCCCCCCACACTGGTTCTGCCCAGCAGGATAAAGAACAAACCAGAGGTTCTGCAGAACCTGAGGAGTTTCTGAAACCTGCTGAAGCCTAGAGAACCAGAGGTGGAACCATGGAACCAAGTTCTGTTCTGCTGTTTGATTCCAGTTCTACTGGATCTGAACGCTTAGAACCAGAACATCTGCAGCGGAGCAGAACCCGATACGAGCAGCGGTTCTGTCTTCAGAGAATGTTCTCCTGAAGACGGAACCAGTAGAACTCTGCTGGGTTCTAATGGATGATGGAACACCTGGACCGTTTAGATGAATCTCACCTTTCCTGGACGAGGGTTCAGCTTCCCGTGTTCCTTCTCTTTGGTCAGCTGCAGACAGAGAAACATCATCATCATCATCATCATCATCGTCATCATCATCATTGTCATCATCATCGTCATCATCATCGTCATCATCATCGTCATCATCATCATCATCATCATCATCAGAACATCTGCCATCAGAGAGGAACTGAGACCAACATGGGATCAGATTTGTTCTGGTCAGAGTCTCCGGGATCCTGTGACTCTGAGTCGGATCATGTTTCGGACCGCGGCGCGTCACGTATCGACTCTCACTGCTCTGACCTCAGCTGGCCTACAGGCGCCACGCCACCTACTGACCACAGGAAGGAGCTGCAGCCCCTGCTTCCTCCTCCTGCAGGCGCCTCTGGGCTCCTGCTGTCTCTGCGTGCAGCAGAACCGGGCCGTCCATCAGAATCCATCCTGATTTGGCCTTCAGGTAGAAAAGCCTGAATGGAGCTGATGACTGACAGACAATAGAGGAGTTAGTCACATTCCTGCGTTTCACGGGAGAACGCGTCAGTCACAACAACCCAAGGCAAACCGCGGCCCACAGAACCAAAGCTGGACTGGTTCTGCTGCATTTCTGCAGCTGGTGCTGCTTTCCAGCAGAGAGATGAAGAAGCTGGTCTCCAGGAGGGACGGCGGAGATCACGGCTTGATCGACCCCACCTTCCTCCCTGCAGCCAGAAACGCTGCCGGCTGATCGTCAGGGCATCGCCCGGCCTTCTGCCCATTGGAGCTGATGGGAGACGAACCGGGAGAAGGCAGGAGGGGGGAGGGGGGGAGGGTGCGGCTGCAGCAGGAACAGACAGATAGCTGCTGAGGGTGTGGACATTTCTGACAATATTTACCAAAGACGTTCTGCATTAATCCAACAGCTGCTTCACATTCTGATCCGGGCCTCCTGCCAGAACCTGCTGCCTCACACATAACACCACTTCCTGCTTCTCTGGATCCGAGTCTTTATTTCACTGCAGAACCGGCAGATTAGAGGAAAGTTCCTCCAGTTAATCTGAAGGTTTCTGCAGGAACTCTTCTCATTTCCTGTAGTTTCCACAGATGGAGGCAAAAACACTGAAGCACAAACATCTGATGTTCTTCTAAAACTAGAACCATCTGGACCAGGCTTGCTCCTGCAGCGGCCCGGCCCGACCCGGCCCGACCCGACCCGACCCGACCCGACCCAACCCGGCCCGACCATCGATCCCTGCAGGCCTCACAGCTCTGTTCTCCACAGAGGTTCTAATTTCAACTTGTTTTACAAGAAGCTTCCCTGCAGAGGAACCGACATGCGACTGATGGAACCTAAACCCTTTCAGCTGATTTCATGGCTTACTCAGATAAGCCATGAAATCAGCTCATGATGATGTCATCACAGAACCAGGAGGCTCAGGATTCAACACGCCGTCGGTTCTATCGGGTTCTAATTCGTCCTAATGGACGGATCATCAGAGAAGAAGCAGAACCTCCTGAGACCAGAGAACCGTTTCTGCTCAGTGGATCCAGTCTGCTCTCTGGTCCGGTTCTGTTCCCCCCGGGCTGAACCATCAGTCAGGTGATCATTAGCGCCGTTGCGTCGGAACGCGCCTCATCACCCTGCTGAATAAAATCATTTTGGACGGATCAGTGGCCCCGGGGCCCGAAGGCGAACATGTGCAGACGTGGAGCCACATGCAGACACACCTTCTGCTGCTTAATTACATCCAAGACATTCAGAATCTTGGAACCAGTTTTTATTTCTGTTGAACCTCCATAAAGGATAAATGAGCAGGTTCACCTGCGGCGTCACCAGAGCCCCCCCGTCCCCCGTCCCCCGCCATGTTGGCGTACTCACATAGGCGTCTGGGAAGGCGCGGTATTTGGACATCAGGCTGCAGTCTGGTTCATCTTGCTGGATTTGGGGCCCCGCCAGCAGGCTGTTGAAGCGGGGGCCGTTATGGACGCCATTAAACTGGGGCCCTCCCTGAATGCTACCCAAGGGGGCCCCTCCCTGTAGGCCGTTGAATGGAGGCGTCTGTGACGGCCCCTCGTAGCTGAGGCTCCTCTGCAGGACCCCTGGCCCCTGGCTGAACGGGAGGGGCTCCGAGATGGCGAGGGGCCGGTGCAGGTCGATGGAGGTGGTGGGGCTGAGCAGGCGAGTGGGGCTGGTGGTGGTGGGGGAGCCGAGGTTTAGGCTGGGCCCCCGGCTGATCCTAGAGGAACCAGAGTCCCCGGCTCCGTTCAGGGAACCCGACGAGTTCACCAGGAAGGAGAGACGCTCCAGACGGGACCCTGATGGGTTCCCACTGGGCCCCGTGTCACCGGGGTCCCTGCTTCTCACAGCAGGGGACCCCGTCTCCGGCAGGGAACTGGTGCGGAACAGGGGCCGATGGACGTTCCCGTTTTCCAGCTTCTGGTCCGAGGATGTGGAGCGGTACGCTCCGAAGAGGACGCTGCTGTCGAGGCGGGAGCTGGTGGTGGGAGACGGGGGAGCTCCGCTTCCGTTGGGCAGCGAGGAGTTCTGCTCCTGAGGAAGGAAGAGAAGGAGGAGTCAGAGAGAACAGAAGCTAAGGGGGACCAGACCAGGAACCTCAGAGATCCAGAACCAGAGCTGCTGCTCCTCAGATCAGGTACCTGGTTCTTCTTCATCAGCTCCAGCGGCGGCCGGCTGTCTCTGGCCACGTTCCTCTTCAGGCCCAGCTCAGCTGGCAGCGTGTACTGAGGGTTCTGGGGCTCCTCTGTCCTCAGTGGGGAGGGGGTCGGGTCGGGGAGGTGGGGGCTCACAGCATCCTCCTTGATGGGGGGCAGGGAGGACACCAGGACGGGAGGAGCAGCTCGTAGGCCGGGGCCCCTGGGCCTCTGAGAGGGTCCCATGCTCTTCAGGGTGTCCACCAGGCTGTCCATGTCGTTTAAGGGGGAGTCCACGTCGGGGGAGGATGGGGGGGTGAGGGGGGGTGCAGAATCAGAGACCAGGTCCACCAGGGTGGCGGTGAAGACTCCGCTGAAGCTGCTGTCTTCGTCTTCTGGGCTGCAGGAGGACGCAGGGAGCTGCTGCAGCTCCTGCTCAGACATTCTCCACTCTGTCTCTCCTTTCAGCCGTTCCTCCCCTCCACCTGCACCTGGCCCCTCCTCCTCCTCTAGCAGGCCCCGCCCACTTTCCTCTGCTCCCAACGGGCTCAGATACACAGAGGAGGAGGGGCTGAGATGAGAGTCTGGCTCATCTTCAGGCAGAGGAGAGGAGGAGTCAGGGAGGGAGGTCCTGCTGGACCTGAACGGCGTTACTCCCTGAAAACGGTTCTTCCATCGGTACTCGGGTTCTGGATCAGGAGAACTGGACCTGCAGGTGGTTTCTGTGGTCACCAGAGAAACTTTGTGGAAGCGGGGTTTGGGTTCCTCCTCTCTGGGAGCAGACGGGTTCTTCAGGGTCAGCTTGGTGCTCAGGCTGCTGAGGCCCGAACTCATCATGTGGTCCGGTTCTGGTTCTGCTGCTGGAGGCTGGAAGCTGCAGAACAACAGAGACAGAAGGTGATGAGGCAGCGGTCACATGATCACAGGAGGTTCTACGGGCTGAGGGAGGAGGTTCTAATGCCCGAGGGAGGAGGTTCTAATGGCTGAGGGAGGAGGTTCTAATGGCTGAGGGAGGAGGTTCTAATGG